GGGTCTTGGGTTGGGATGGAAAAAGACTAAGCTAGAAGCAGAGGGAATTTAAAGGTGGGGTGTGTGTCTGGGACCATCCCGGTCACTAAAATCAGCAGGGTCTGCAGCCGGCCAAGAACCGCGGCGAAATAGAAAGGCTCACAGGTAGAAAAGAAGAGCGAGTTACACAGATAAAGGACAGAGTAAGGGGAAAGGATTTTGATTAAGCAAGAAAAGGAAACTCTGGAGCTGAATTAGAAAGAGGGGAACGAGAAACGGAGAGAGAAAGAAAGATTAACAAGGGAAAGCAGAAAACAAGTTAGGACAATACTAAACGAATAAAGAAATCCCTGAGAACGGAGAGTGGATGAGGGAGTAACAACACGTCTCAGTAGCTAAAGAAAAAGTAGCAGCCATTCCAGCTCGCGCCCAGCGCCGACCCTGGTGACGACCCTGGTGACGGCCGCACCCGGCGCCTGGACAGTGGCCCCCTGGTGCGGGCATTTGCGCGGGGACAGCAGCTACTGCCCCCGGGTTTAGCGACATAGGGTGTTGAAAGGGTCCGCCAGGGGGTTTTTCTAAGACCAGGAGGAGGCGTACTGTGGAATTGTCGAGTTTGGGGCGCGGGCTGAGAAGTGATTAAAGACAGCGTCCTTCCCCAGAACCTCAGCGGGCCCAGGCCTCCGAATCCTGTTGCTGCTCCGCAAGTCCCAATTCCAGAAGCTGCGCGAAATCTCTGCCTCCAGCCTCCACGCCGGCAGGGGACCATGCCTGAAATACTAAGACTCTTCCAACGGGGCTGAGGGAAACTCCCCGAATCCAGTCTCCGTGACTGCTAAGCCCGCCACCCCGGGTTGCCATCTATGCCCCTCAATAACCCTCGAAACCCGATCCAAGAAAGGATTGATCCAGCGCCTTATGGACTGGAGTCGGGGTTTGGCTGTAACCCTAGGTGTCTCTCTGTACGGGGATATTGAGGTGCAGGACAGCCTAACTGGGAGGTGGGGGGGGGGGGCGGCGGTGGTGTGTGCGTATATGTAAGAATAACCGCTTTGATGAAACTCCTACTGTGATTCTTGGCCTATTTAGGGACCTCACGTAGGCGGTCGCGAATGGAAAGACGCCAAGGGGGACCGTGCTTCGCTACGCGCCTCGCTGCCCTGACCATGGGGCAGCGGCGCTGGCGCGAGCAGTTCCAGAGTCCTCTCCGGGCCCGTGGTGAGGGGATCGCAGACGGCGGGCGGAAGCTCTGCCTGTCTTCTCCTTGGCACCTCTGGCGTCGGTGCATCCAGCATCCCGCAGGTTCTGAACTCCCCAAAGGGGTCCTCAGCGTAGAGGGCGACCCTGGAAGTGTTCTGAGTAGCGCCAGGCCCAGGCCTCAGTTCGGACTCTACTGCCTGCGGCCTGGGCTTTCTCGCCCACCAGCCCTGCGCTGTGGTCGCTCAGCCCCGCCGGAATCCTGAGGCCGGAGACGCGACCCTGAAGACCGAGGGCGCAACACCGGTCCGAGGTGACCTGGCCCACATAGCGCCATATTGGTTAAAATGTCATCAAACTAATCCAGCCTTGGCCTTGCCAGCAATAGAAATGATGAGAGGGAGCTCCGTGGCCTCGTGGGCCGAGGGCGGGACGTGGCAAAGACCTCAAGAGGTCTGATTGTTTATTTGCAAGGATCCTCTGGTTCTACGGTTCGTTGTCGCGCCGGTTGGCGGGGGTCCTCCGAGCCTCCGGTTGCTGAAGGAGCCCTCTCCATCACCACCACCTAGTCCCCACCTGGCCACGCGGGCTTGGCACTGACAGCTCAGCCGCAGGGACCGGAGATTCAGACGTTCAAAGGCCCAAAGCACCCTATGGGAGAGCAGCGTTGTTTCAGGCTTCCACCGCCCAGTTTCCGCGCGCGCTGCATCCATCTCACTGGGGCTCTCTCCAGGGAAGCTCTCTGATGAGGAGTTGTTTAGCAACCGGTTTGAGCCCCTGTGCGGGAGCCCCGGCGATGTAACTTCGGGCAGAGTAACCTCTCTCAATGTTTCTTTCTTCTGGTTTCGCGAGGAGTAGGAGAAGCGACACCTCGATGTAACATGAATTTGTAAACTTCTAAGCCCCTTACAAAGGGATTAAAATTGGTCACTGATTATTACTACTGTTTTCCTCTTCCTAACTTTTCTTATTTTGGGACAATTCTCTGCCTCTTTGAGGGGTCCCTGAAGCTTGTCTCCATTCCCCTTCCTCCGTGCTTTAAAAAAATGTGACTTTCGTTCTCTTCTCCAAACTCTCGGCAGGGTTAGGACTGTTCGCCCAGGACCTGGCCCATTGAGCTCTCCCCGGGACACTTTTAAGGTTGCCGTTACTCCCGCCGGGCTGCCCGCGGGGACCCCACCCAGCCTGCTCGCTCCGGCTCCCTCTCCCGGGCTGCGCGCCCGGCTCCGCCGCCCAGAGCTCAGGCCCGCGCGCCCGAGGCCGGCGCCCGGATTTGGAACTCATCCGTCCTCGGTTCCTTTTCATGTCGCCGACAGCCTTAATACTGCTCTCTTCCCTTCCCGCCCCTGTCCTTTCCGACCCTCCGCCAGAGCTTGACGCCGCCTGGTTTATTGACCTTAGATGGGCCCCGGGGCTTTATCAGACCAGCGGGGGCATCCAGCGGCGCACGCCCCCTTCCCCACTGTGGCGCGGCGGGAACCCCTTTTAAGCTTTTCCAGCAAACTCTCCTTCCTGCCGCATCCCCGACTCCGCTCGGAGAATGGACAGAAAAATCGCCAGCATTCGCATGATTGTGGAGAAAACCCAGGCAAGGCCTTCAGGGCCACGGACATTTTCCTGGGCTACTCCTTTATCTAGATAATGCAGGTGAAAGTGCCTCCCTCCCCCCCAATTATTCGGATAATTGTCTCGAATCTCCACTTGGTGCTGTGTTTAGACAGTTGAAGATTGATCGCTTCAATTTCTTCAGTCTCTAGGCTGCCGCAGCCAATCCCCTCCTCTCTGTTGTCCCGGCCCTGAAACATCTCTGGACTTACACATGCAAACTATAGTTTTCCATCCTATAAATCACTTGGCAAATATAACAAGGCATTAGAAAGTCATTTGAAATGGATATTTCATAGGGCTTGAGAAATAGGGCAGGGATAAAGAGCAGCTTATTAATGTTTCCTCGATACCAGCCACGGCAAAACCTCCTTGAAGAATTCCCCCCATCCTGCCAATTGAACTGGCCAAGGCAAAATCACTAGAGGCAAATTGTTTAGAGAAAGAGGAAACCTCTATGTTGCTCAAAATGGACTCTAATGAATTCTGTAAAAAGAAATTCAAAAAGTGGGACTTTCAAATATCCTTTTACTCTAGGCTGATTTATCCAAATCAGACTAGCAGAAACAAAACACTTACGCCACTTACTACTAACAAATAAGCCAAACCAATTCTGTGATGATAAATCATGGGAATCTAGCAGGCTTTCACAGTAAGGTTTTCCCTCAGTTCAGATCAGCACTTCCCGGATTTTGTCCTGCTGAAAACTTCTCAATTTCTCTTAACTTTGGAGAACATGCAGAGGAGTGAGAACCTCGGCGCTGGGAGAAAATGAGGAGGGGTACGGGAACCAAAGTTGGGCAGGGGAAAGATAGGTAAAGCAGATCCTGTAAGGTTGGAGACAATTGTGAATTCACCCCGCTGGGAGCCGGCAGGGCTGCCGGAGAGGAAACTGACCAGAGGGAACAATTTTCCATTCTCTGCTTTGCAGAGCTAATATTTGTAGTAAGTGCACAGACACTGAGACTTTGCACTAAATCCCACCCAATTCCAGAAGGGCACGCACTTAGTCCTCCTGAGGCTACAAGAGTTAAAATGTGCCATTGTCTGTTTTCAACGTTTGAGCAAGCAGAGGACGCACACACAGCCCCGCTGGGTTCAGACTCTCCCAGCTGCGGTCATTAAGCAATGCTTCCCTCTGAGCTCAGGGTCTCCTTCTCCACCCGTGTCTTCTCAAAGCTGCCCCTCTGTCTTCACCTTTGTCTCTCCTTTTCTTCTGGACTCAGCCCTTTTCTCAGTTACAAATAAGATTCAAAGCTCATTTGCCCAAACTCTGGATTTATAGGAAGCAGAGGTAATCTTGACCTGTGTGTAAAAGCACACACAACCAAGCTCTTCAAACACGCAGCGGGCTCGGGGAAGGAAAGCGCAGTTACTGTGGTACACCTGCGAGACCCACCCCCACCTCCCTTCCCGTCACACGTCTGTCTCCAGAAAAAATGAACCATTAAAGGCCACACCACGCCTGGCTGACGCTTGGCCTGTGAATAGGCAAAGAAAAGTATCAGCTCCTGGCGGCCCTGAGGCCTATTCACCGACTCACCAGTGAACCCAACAGGAAACACCGGTGAGCCTTTCTGCCTCGAGAGCATACCAGGCAGGTCTGGCATGGGTCAGGAAGGGGGTCTCTCAAGCTTTCCAAGGGGGTTCTCAAGACAGAATGCCAGCAGCAGGCACCGGGGGAAAGCCATGCGATCTGAGTGTGTTGGAGGGAGCAGAGGCAAGAGGCCCAGGGGCACCTGGTCAGATGCGTTTGTTTTTTTGTGTGGTGTGTATTTATCTGTTTTTTCTTGAGAGGCTGACCATCCCCGTTGATGTCTGATTGTTGGAGTGGGAAGCTGAACCGGGAAATACAGAAGCTATAATGTCACCCAATTGTGAGAAAGAGAAACAGAGAGAAAATGAACCAGAGAGAGGAAGTGGGAAAGGAAGGCTTGCCTGTGTGGCTTGGCCTGGGAAGAATTTCATCCTTTCTTCCTGTTCCCAAAGGTCTGAGAGCCTCTTGCATATCCTCCGTCACACACTGGCTAGTGCTTTCCCTCCCCTCTCTCCCCACCTCCCTTCTCCCGCAGTCTGATATTCAGCGCGATCCCCACCGACCTTCTATGCCTCCAGCCCTGCGGCTCCTGGACCTCCCGGCCTTCCTCCTGGGCTCCCTCAGTGCATCTCCCTCTCTGCCCTCACAGAGGGGTCACCAGGAGGGCCAGGAGGGGACTCACCCACGGTGGGAGCGATGTCCCAGTGGCTCCTCACACCGGCGCGAGGCAAACTCTCAGGGACAGTCTTAGTTCCTCAGTCCCGGGGATTCCAGGCTGTTCTCAGCGGGTGGGAGGGAGGCTTGTGAGCTGCATCTCCCAGCTCCCTCAGAGCTCCCAGCTTTCCCCTCGGAATTAGATAACAGGAAAAATAGATAAGAGAAGTGGTTCATTAATTCAGCAAGCCCTTTTTTTTGGTATGTGTACAAGTGGAAGGAAGCCCTGCTAGGGAATGCAGCCCTGTTGGACATTTTTAAAAAAAATCAACATTCACAAGCTTCCAGAGATCCATCTGAAAGGTCACTCAGAAGGGCCTGAGGTTGACAGGAAACAAACCTAAGGAGTCATTGCTCATGGGGAGAAACGCTGACTTCACGGCGTCTTTGCCCCAAGTCTCAGGCACTAGACCTGCCTTTCTGATGAGTGAGAATGCCTGCTCTGTGGTATTTGTTTAGGTTGTGCAAGCGTCCTCTGAGGGTAGAAATAATAGTAATGGCAGTACTACTCTTCCTAGTATGGCAATAAAAAATAACTGATTTTCAAAGCACTTGCTCGTGTAGCATTTTCTGGGCTTCTCACCAGAGGAGCAGCAGGCAGATTATATAATAATAAGATATAATGGAGACAATTGAGCTCAGAGAGGTTAGGAACGTGCCTGTGGTCCAGTCACACAGCAAGGAAGGGTTGGAGCCATGTTGGGTTCCAGATCAACTGATTCCTAATCCAGGAATAAAGAAATCAATGGATTCTTAGAATTGGAAGAGACCTCAAATTCCAATCTCCTGCCCGGAGCAGGAATCCCCTGCCAGGTGATTATCCATACCCTGTTTGAATACTCCCGGTGATAGGGAGCCCATCCTTCTACATGGCATGGATGTACAGCTCTACTGGCCGCCACGATTCCCTGCCCCCCACATGACCCAGGGTTGCGGGGCCGTGCCAGGCACACAGAAAGAAACAGGGAGCGGCAGCTGTGGCGTGATTTGAGGAGCCGGGAGAAGCAGATGACTCTTGACAGGCCTGCTGAGGAATTCTCTCTTCTCATGCCTAGCACTGTTAGGGTAAGTCTTGCCTGTGGAGTCAGCATCTCCCCAAGGCAGTTCTTAATAATAAGAATAAACACAATGCTTTGATGTTTTAACCTATCTCCCACTTCCCAGTCTACCGGAATCCTTACAACAGTCTCTGCAAGGGGAGGAGACAAAGTACAAATTATTACTTATTTCCAAACATAGACCAGGAAACTGAAACAGAAGAGGTGAGTGATTACCAGAAATCAAAGAGCAAACGTATGGTGGCACAGGAACTAGAGAGATGAAGGCCTGGGAAAAAGGGGAAAACATTCGGGAAAAATGAGTATTTTTCCTTTCCAAGAATTTTTAGTTATGAATATTTTTGTAAGTGATGAATAAGGTGTCTATTATTGTTATCTGTCTTTGCACTCTTCCTCTGCCAAATAAATTGCAGAAACTATGTCACAGGAAGATTTTAGTGTAAAACTCCCCGTGGTGTCAGATCATTAAAATTCCTGAAGAGTGAGCTGAACAGTACAAGACATCGGTGCAGAAGCACGGGCCACGCCTTCGTTCTCCAGAGGGGTCTGTTGTTTTCGCCAGAGGACTGGCTTGTTCCCATGTAGCTTCCCTTTATGGAGTTTTAAAAAACTATTATGGTAAAATAGGTAAAACATAAAATTTACCGTCTTAATCATTTTTAAATGTACAGTTCAGTGGCGCTAAGTACATTCACATTGCTGTGCAGCCATTGCCACAATCCATTGCTAGCACTTTTTTCATCTTCCCAACTGAAACTCTGTCCCCGTGAAGCAACAACTCCCCATTTTTCCTCCCCTCAGCCCCTGGCACCCACCATTCTATTTTCTGCCTCTGTGATTTTGACTATTCTAAGTACCCCATATAAGAGGAATCATATAGTATTTGTCCTTTTGTGACTGGCTTATTTCACTTAGCATAATGTCCTCAAGGTTCATCCATGTTGTAGCATGTGTCAGAATCTCCTTCCTTTTTATGGCTGAATAATATTCCATTGTACGTGTATACCACTTTTGTTTACCATTCATCTGTGGATGGACATTTTGGTTATTGTGAGTAATGCTGCTGTGAACATAGGTGTGCAAATATCTACTCTAGTTCCTGCTTTCAGTTCTTTTGGGTATATACCTAGAAGTGGAATTGCTGGGTCATATAGACCAGTCTATGTTTAATTTTTTGAGGAACCACCATACTGTTTTCTACCCCTTATGGAGTTTTGATCTAAAATTTGGACAGGAGGTCTCCATCATTCTAAGTAACAAAGAACTGGAAGCAGCAACATCCACTTATCCCAACTGGGGTTCTATAGGAACAGATTGCCCTGCCTGCTAGAAGTGTTGTAAACGAGAATGATTTTTTGATAGGGAAGAAGGTGGAAGATGAGGTTCTCTTGGAAATTACATTGGTGTAGAGAGATCACTCACTTCTTTATTATAAGATCAAGGCGATAACTCCTGGCATCAAGGTGCGGTAACCAGAGCACCTGTGTTCAAATTTCAGCTCGGACATCTTGCCTCAGTCTTCTACACGTGACCACAAGAATCTGGGGGTCTCACAGCATCACTGTTGGGGCCAGCAATGTCAAGGGAAGAAACACAAGTCATAGGTAGCACATTTTGTGTTCAGAAATTGAAATGTTAAAAATAATCATGGGAACATTAAGAAACTTCACATATTTCCATTTCTCCATATATTTATGAAATTTTTTGTGAGGTAGAGGGAAGCCCGTTTTCATCTTCTGTGGTCTCAAACTTTCCAGATCTTTTACATATTTTGGGGAACCTGAAACTCTGCTGTCCTGAGGCCTAGTTTGGGGCTCTGCGGATCCAGCCCAGGCCAGTGCCAGTCTTTCCTGGGAGGGATGGGAGCCCTCGGCCCCTCACTGCCCAGGGCATCCAGGTGCACTTTGGGTGTAGTTGGCAAAGCCACCTGCCAGCTACACCTTAGTGTGCTTGTCAGCAAAGGCTGGTTGTTGTATATGCTCCACGCTTCTTCCATTTACTCGGAGGGTATGCCCCCGAGATCATGAGGACGATGTAAGCACTGATAAAATCAGCCGGAACTCTCTAAAATTCACTCAAAATCCACGCCAGGGAGAGGGCCAGAGAGAGACTTTGTAGGACCACCTGTTTTAGGTCTGCGCTCCCTGTTCTTTAAGCAGATGTACACACACACACGCACACTTTTTATTGGTTTTTATTATCGAAGTGTTACATATTCACCGCTAAAATTCGAAGTACTGTAGAAAGTAGAAAGTGACACTCTTTCTCACCACCTGCCCCTCCCTCACCAGATAATTCTTAAACTCTGACTTTCTATCTGAAGACTATCCTTTTTCTGGGATGTTTGACGTTAACATGTGATTAAGAGTCTATCCTCAGAAATTGCATTTCTTCCTCTTGTGTAGGCAAATTAATTAACATCTTTAAGTGTCAATTTTCAAATCTGTAAAATGGGCATTATAATAGTTCTTATCTTATAGGGTTACCGTGAAGCTTAAATGAGACGGGAATCACTAAGTGTGATGCTTGTTACTAAAAGAAATAAGTAAAGCTATTATTAATACTATTAGCCGTGGGCCGAATAGCAGCCTGGTGTTCAGTCCAGTGATCCTACCTATGTCACCCCTGTCCAGGGCAGGAAATCTGTGGGCAGCTGTCGGATATGTTGGCCAGAGGTCCACAAACCCCTCCAGACCCAGGAGCTCATGGCTGTGCCATTCTTGGCAGGCAGCTCCTCCCATTCTGGTGACATTACTGCTTGTAAGAGCATGCCCTTGGGACCAGGAAGCCCTAAGGTGACTAACTCCTGGTGAGGGTGAGCACTTTCTTTGGGCCTGAGTCTCCAGAAGAGCTCGTTGATTCTAGAATTACCTGAAGTCCTTGTGGCTTGGGCAGAGGTGAGGACAATTTGAAAACAAGTGGCCTGCTGGGCCAGATTCTGACTTAACTCTGCGTTTCAGCCTTGTTCTGACCTTTCTCTCTCCTCCAGCCTGTCAGGCTTCAATTTTTTAAAAACATTGGAATATAATTCACTCTTTTAAAATGTACAGTTCAGTGGTTTTTAGTATATTCACAAGCCTGTGCAACCATCAGCACTATCTAAATCCAGAATATTTCCGTCACTTGGGCTGCAATGTGATTTGATTCCATAGATGTTGTCCTTGGGGTCTTGTTAGTCTAACTCGGTTCTAGCTTGATCTTCTGGGTCTGCACCTCCAACTTGGTCACACTTGCTCCTCTTGTTCTGCGCATTGACCTGGTGAATCAGGACTGTCCCTCTGAACGGCGACTGTTGTTCGAGTTATCATTGGGGACCAGGACTACATTGAGCATTGGTGTGCATTTTCTCATATCCTTTTATCTAATTTCACAGAAGGGCTCTGAACTCAGGTCTTTTAGCTTCAACCCTGACATTCGTCTCGCTGTGCCAGCTGGCTTGGAACGCTCGTTGTGCCTCTTCTCAGGTTCCGGATATGCTCCTCATGCTCTCTGCTAAATAATGCCAACAGCCAGTTGTGTAGAGTTTACCACGTGTTCAAAGCTGTGCTCCCTTTTGACCCTCCTGTTAACCTTGTGTGTCCAAGAGGCAAAATACTCTCCCTCTTTGAAAGTGCTTCTGGGAGTCTCCCCACGCTAGATTCCTGGCCCTCCAGTCACTTCAGGGACCAGTTCAGGATTTCATTCTTCACACTTTGCTAACGTCCTGTTGAGATCAATGTCTTTTCATAAACTAGAGGTTCAATGTGTGCATATTTGCATCTCCTATCTCTTGATATTTGTATATAAATTGTGCGTTTGGGTCTGTCTTGTTTCTTCTTTTGGAACACAAGGTTTGCAGGGTCAGGGATCATGTGGCAATTTCCCTTTTAAGAGTGGAGAGGACTTTTTTGGAGGGCTGGTCCCAGCACTTGGCCTCTCTCCTACCTTCTTCAAGTGGAGGAATCTCTTTCCTTTGGTACATCTGTTCCTCATGGCTTATTGGAACGAGGGTCCCAAGTTGTCCAATTTGAAGATGCACTCGGAATTTT